ACAAACCCACTCACTCACACACACACACACACACACTCACACAACACACACACGCACACACGACACACACACTCACTCACTCACTCACACACACACACAACACACAACACAACACACACTCACTCGCTCACACGCACACAAACACACTCACACACACACAGACACTCACTCTCTCTCACACACACACACACACACACACACTCTCACACACACACACACACACACACTCACACACACACACTCACTCTCACACACACACTCACTCTCACACACACACACACATTCACTCTCTCTCACACACACACACAAACACACACTTTTTTTCAAGAAAAACAAGCAGTTAGAAAACAAATAGAGAGTACAAGTGATAGAGGGTCAAGTGTTTTTTTTTATAAAAAAATTTAATAAATAACCCCAACCCTAAACCTACCCGATAGTGTTAACAAATACAAAAGTGATCTAAAAACACATTTGTTGATGCAGCTGTGCTATTTTAACCTTCTTACGCAGATTTGAGCTGTTTTCTCTGACTACATTTAAGTCTCTCCTAAAAACATATCTGTTTTCTCTGGCTTATAAATACTTTTCTATTATGGTCTTTGCCTAGTATTGTGTATTCTAAGTGTCTGTACTCTGTTTCCCTTGTTTTATAAAGTTTTAGTCATTATATCATTGGGGCTAGACCCGGTCTGAATTGTGTTTAGTTTGTGCTGATTTCTATATTTTGTTTTATTCTTTTCTGAATCTCTGTAAAGCACTTTGGTCAGTCGTGTGGCTGTTTTTATATGTGCTATATAAATAAATTGAACTTGAACTTGAACCGTAGTTTCTCAAGTAATTATGTGAAAATTAGGCTTTATTAATCTAAACTGTGGACCTGCAAATCATATTTTGTGTAAAAGGGAGTAAAAGTTGTCAACTGGAAACTGAAACTGCAGCGATTCGTGTGTATAGGTACATTTTTTGAGTTTCGCAGAAATGTAAAGGCACGTATTTCCAATGAGCATATGTTGCACATAGAATATCAAATGCTTTTATTTCAGAGCTCTTTAATGCTACAGTAACACAGGTGTGAGTAAGTGTGTGCGTGTGTGTGTGTGTGTGTGTGCGCATGTGTGTGTGTGTGTGTGTGTGTGTGTGTGTGTGTGTGAGTGTGTGTGTGTGTGTGTGTGCGCGCATGTGTGTGTGTGTGTGTGTACATTTAGCCATTCTACTAAATGGCTAAATGTAAATGTGTGTGTGTGTGTGCCCGCGTGTGTGCCCGCGTGTGTGTGTGTGTGTGTGCGTGTGAGGCTGTGTGAGTAAGTGTGTATGTGTGTGTGTGAGACTGTGTGAGACTGTGTGTGAGAGTGAGTGTGAGTATGTGTGTGTGTGTGTGAGTGAGTAAGTGTGTGTGTGTGTGTGA